CATAGTATTGAACTAGGGACTTAATAGTGTGTACTTCCATCTACCCATGCAAATTTAATTTAAGTTTCAATTTTAAGATAAATAGATAAGGATTTCCTTCTGAATATCAAAACCCAGAAACTCCAATTCCTTCTTCTTTTACTGTCCTTATATACCTGACTCCACAATTCTGTATTTTGAAGACTTGGCCAGATTTGCAGTTGTCCTATAGCTTTAAATATTCAGGAATGTCCTGCCTTGTTGTCCAGGCAAGCAGATGGCTCTACTGATCTTCAAAGACAATCTAAAGACTCTAAATCTCTTTTCATGTCGATTTGAAACATAGAATGAAGTATAATTGGAATGCTGTTCCAAACTGAAAGAATTTGCTATGGGTCTTTCCACTGCTTCAGAGGAATTAGTATGACTGGTATAGGAGAATGTATTCTACTGTATGAATGAGCTAGAAATGAGCTTTTCTTAGGAAGCATTTTTGTGCCAAGTGGACTTTCGGTGACAGGGCATCAGGCAATGCTGAGCTGCTCAAATCAGCCAGCACTCACAGTAAGTCTGATGGAATAAAGCTTTTCTTATCCTGCAATACACAGCTCAGGAGATGAGTTTGTGGCTGAGTTGTGTCCAGCCTTTTCACAAAATGGGTTAAATGCAAAAGATTTCGTAAGGAAATTTCCAGCTTGTGACAGTGTTACTTAACAGTAATAGTGTATGTAAATACATTGAAGTTGACATTTCCCCAGGGGACATGAAGCTTTGCTGTCACTGAGGGGAAAAGCTTTATGAAATCAGATGAACCTTAAGGATTCACATTAAGTACGAGCCTACTTTCTTACTTTTCCTGTGGCTCATAGTTGCCATATTGCTGTGCGCTTATTTATAAAGCAACTGCCAATCTTTGTTACCACAGTTAGAATTGTAAGGCTGTCTTGGCAAAGTGGCCTCTAAAGTAAATTAGAAGGGGGAGAAAAAAAGCTAATTTCTTTCTCTGGCTTTCTATATACAATTTAATGTCTAGGAAAATACTAGGAACTGTGAGGTTCTGTGGGCAAATTGTGCAAATCTCTGCCTGCCTTCCCAGTCGAAATGAGGCCTAACCTGCATGATACAAAGGAATAGGTGTTCCCTTCTCCATGAGAACTTGCATAGCATGTCTCTGTGTGTTGTGGAGTAGCTCAGAATTCAGGAGAAAGTCTGGCTATGGGTAGTACCCAGAAATGAGGCTTTCCTAAAACTGAAAACTGTTGGTAGGAAAATGACTGGGAGAAGGTGTGGGGCTGAACCAGGTTTGGATCGCCCTTTTTGCATTAGTACCCTCTGTGAGACAGTGTTTACTTCTAGAGCATCATTTCTGTTGATAGAGTTCTCTCTTCACATCAATGTGTTTGAATTGCATCTTAGTCTGGGTCCCCTTTATTCTAAGTGTGCAGCACAGAACCTGCCAAGCTGTGGTCCCTCAGAATGCTGGAAGATTAGGGGTATGGATGGATGGAGAGTATTGAAATGCATGTAATTGGTACGTTCTGAAAAAATGCCACCTTCTTGCTAATTGGCTGGTACCAGTTCTAATTAGCTGTGGAACAGAATCTCTGGCAGTTACTTTGTGTCAGTGTTCACTGAAGTCTAAGATACTACCTGTGTTGAGTGGTTCACTGGGATTGGAAAACAGTCAATTCTTTACAAAATGAATGTGCTTCTGGCAATACTGAGACTTCTGCTCTATGTGTAGGTGTGGCTGCTGCAGCCAAAACCTCTTCACTAGCATTCAGTTCATCCAACTCTTCATAGTTCTTCTCTGAAGTCCTTCTCTCTCTCTTTCTCTCTCCCCCTCTCTCTCTTTTCCTTGTTTCCTCCGTGTGTCTGTGTCTCTGCACAGTCTGTTTTTACTGTCACAAAGGCACATTTTCAGACCCCTCCTCCTGTGGTGACGGACACCTTGAAGGTCCCAGTGATGGGACTGGCCTTTTCACATCAAGTGAGTTGTCAATAGAATATGCTATACATGGCTAGATACAGTTCTGGCATTGCAGGACACTGGAAAGTACAGATTCGACAATGTGGAAGGTTTGTTGTGCATGGGAAAGGCTGGTGAACCCAAAATGGGCCAGGCACGTTATTTAGACTGGCTGCTTAAATGCCTTTGCAGATTAAGGTATCCCAAAGACAGGACAAGCACCCCTAAATAAACAACAGCTGTTGCAAGGATCTAGTGAAAGACACAAGTAGCAAGTGCTGAGCGTTTTCTCTTAACAGCCAGTGTCCCTAGAACCTGCATAGTCATTAGTGCTCCATTCAGCTTAACTAGCCTCATTTAAGTAAAAGTGCTGTTCATCATTTAGACCCCTGTAAATGATGTCAGTGTTGGCACTGCTGGAATATCACACACAGAGCTCTGAAAGAAGTGTTCCTCTTGAGGTCAAGCAAGCTAAACCAGGAAAGTTTTATTTAACCAGACCAGCTAGATTTCTGCCTGGGGTGTGTAAGGAACTTCTGGGTATCCCTGCTTCCAGCACTTCATTCCTAAAGCAATCTCACAAGGGTTAGCTTCCCAATTCTCTTTGCCTAGCACATTTATAGGACTTTGTATTCTTTGGCTGAAAGCTATTTGAACAGGCCTTGAAGATCAGCTGTTTTAATGTGCACTGGGGATGGGTTCAAACAGTTGATAATGCAGTTGCTGTGGGGAAAAAGTACTAAACAGTAGGTTAATGATGGCAGTCATGCTTTTTCCAGTATGCGAAACAGGCCTGTAGAGCAGAGCTTCCCTGTGACTGGATGTCAGTCATACCTTGCACAGCCTCCTCCTATGTGTGTAGGAAACCAGTCTTGTTTTCTTGTCAAGGCCCAGACTTAGTCCCCTGCAATAAGAGCTTTTTGGAGTAATAACCTTCATTATTGATTCCAATGAAAATTTAGCATCCTTCTGCCAGCCTGAAATGCTGTGCTGTGCCTCTGACTTTTCCTTCTTCAGTGACTGATGATTATTCAGACTGTGGGGCATTCCTCTTCCCCTTCCTCTTTCCTCTCCCTTTGCCCTTCTTGTTTTTTCTCTTCTTTCTTAGCTTTCCAGCTCTCGTCTTTCCTATCAGCCTGCTGCCCTGGGAGTTGGATCAGCTGACATGGGGTGTCCTGTGCTCTTTGCTGGTGGCTTGAATGCTGCACACCCTCATCAGGTACTTGTAGAGGGTAGAACGAGCGTGGCTGGTATTGCGACCGTTTGTGTCACACGTACATCTAAGAGAGGTCTTGAAACTAGTGCATGCATTGGTATCCTGTCTGTCAGGGGTGAAAAGAATATCAGGTAAATATAGAGAAAGCACAACTTAACACAGGAGCTGGAATTAGCTCCTCAGCATTACTGATTTTACTGGGGTAGGGGTCACGTGGAAAAGCTACGCCAGGGGAGCAGACCTGTTTGCCTGCATCGGCATGTCAGTGATTCCAAACTTTGGCTTACGGAGCTGCTGCCCCTGTCGCTGTCCAAGCATAGCACTGTAGCCTAGACACAGGATACACTGATCATCCGTATTGGCATATTTGCATCCATTCATCAGACAAATAAGCAAAGTTGACAGAAGTCTTTTTCTGCCTGTGATGTTGCTGCTACACCAGAGTTTTTGCTGACACGGTGATGGTGGAATAGAAGAGAATAAACTCTTTCAGTCGTAAGAGACCTACAAGGATCATCTAGTCCAACTGCCTGACCAATTCAGGGCTGACCAAGTTAAAGCATGTTATTGAGGGCATTGTCCAAATGCCTCTTAAACACTGACAGGCTTGGGGCATCAACCATCTCTCTAGGAAGGCTCTTCCAGTGTTTGGCCACCCTCTTGGTAAAGAAATGCTTCCTAATGTCCAGTCTGAACCTTGCCTGGATCAGCTTTTGAACCATTTCCACGTATCCTGTCACTGGAAGAAGTGCTCCGCACCTTCATCTCCGCTTCGCCCTCCTCAAGAAGCTGTACAGAGCAATAAGGTTGTACCAAGAGGATATGATTTCTTTCTCCCCTCACTCCTCTTCTTGAAGCAGAGGACCTATGGCCAGAGCTCTGCAGTGTAAAACAGGCCTGAAGTGGAGAAGAGTGGAGTCGGAAGGGAATAAAAAAGTTTGTATCGTGGTGATCACCTTCTGCTTGACACCTCTGTCAGCCTTATGGGGGCTAGAGCCCAGTTGTATGCCAAAAACCCCACAACTTAGTCCCAGTATGACGGAATCTGTTCTGTATTGCACCATGGCGTTGGCCTGATTTTGAGATCTCTACCTTGACTGTTCCTCTCCATCTCAGTGTATTGGTCCAGGCAAAGAGGGGGGAGTTCCCCCAGTTCCTAGCCAGCCAGCACATGGCACTCAAGCTGACCAAGAGAGGATGTGCACCCCACTGGATGGCGTTCACTATTCTGCAGCTACTCCTTCTAGTAGGTAGGTTGGTTTTAGATGATCCACCACCTGTGGCAGCCCATTTATAATTCTGTTCAGATAAAACTTTTTGTTTTCCCCTTGTTATCTATTGTTTGAGGTGTAACTACTGTCTTTCCATCCCCCAAAACAACTGGCAGCTTTCTCTGGGGCTTTTTCAGCCTTTCTCCAAAGAATGATATCTCTCATCTACTTACATCTGCTAGTCACTGTAACACCCATGCAACTTCTATTATGTCAACTTTAACTTTATTTTCAATTTTATCTTGTTTAATCTCTCTACTGTTTTTGCTGATTTTGAAACAAAAGATTAAGTAAGTTCACAAGCGAGTCTTAAATTCTTCAGAGACTTAATGTGAATTGTTTTCAAATACAGTTGTAGTTACTGCAAATCTCTTTGCTATTTTATTAAGAAACTTTAGGCACAAAGTTACTTAAAAGGAAACAATGCTGCCTCAAACTGTCCTAAATCACCTCCTTCTCAGCTAATTAATTCTTTTTTTTTTTTTTTTGTTGCCATGTTTATTTCTTCTGAACTCTCTCTTGGGATCATGTAGTTCTCAGTCAAATATCTTAAGAAGGGATTTTGCTGTGAAGAAACCAAAAATCATAGTTACACTAGCACTTTCCTGGGTATGCCATCTAAGTAATCCTGTTGCCAGAAGACTCAACCATTTTTTTTATTTGTTTTAAAGTTCTGAATACCTGTGGTAGGAAAAAAAGAAACAGGTCATAGAAATAACTAATAGCCGTGCCGTGAATTAATCATACTTGCAGTGGCTGTTGTGATAAATTAGATGGCTGCCTTTGTAACCTAAGTGACAGATACAATTCTGGTTCTTGCCCTCGCCATCTGACAGATCTGTAACAAGTATATTACTGAAAAAATAATAGTGATAAACAGAAATTGCTGTGAATGTGCACATTCTGAAGTTAAAAGTCCATCTCCAAAAAGAAAAGCCAATTTCAGTTGGCAGCAACTTTTCATTCAACTAAATAGTTGTCGTCCAGCTTTAAACAAAAATCTGATTCTACAGGTGTCATGCTCCCCTTTTGCACTGATGACTGAGGAGGAAGGTATGGTACAGGGACAGAGATTTCTGTTATCCTTCTTCCAATACTAGGAGTAAACCCAGGAAAATGAAGGAGTCTTGTAAAGCGTGTGATTTGTCTATATTGTTTGTGCCGTGAGTCACTAATCAGTCTATTTCTCTCCCCCAGCGAGGACACAGAAACAGTATCAAACAGCAGTGAAGGGAAGTGTGGCTCCCCCCATGACCTTTTGGAGACTATCTTTATCCGGAAGGTGGGAGCTTTTGTCAACAAACCCATTAACCAGGTAACTAGCAGTAGATTTTCTCAGAGGGCACTGCAATACCCTGCTTCTCCCATCTGTTCCTCTGCAGAGGAGCAAAAAACACCCCAATGCTAGGGGAGCCCTGGCATGTATTCCTGCCTGATGCATTTCCCTGCAAGGTCTTGTCATAGGCTTGTTTTTCATAAAAGCCTCTTGGGATATGACAGCCATTGAATTTGCCCCACTTTGCCAACACCCTATTTGGGCATGGAAGACTTGATACTCCACCTGGGTCTCACAGTGATTGGCCGCTACCCGAGGTTCATAAACTGGGGGAAGCTGGTAGCAAGCCTCCCTTCCTTGAAGGATATGCAGTAGACCAGTTCATCAGCCAAAATGATTCTCCATCCCTGGAGGTGTTCAAGAGAGGGGTAGATGTTGTACTTAGGGACGTGGTTTAGTGGTGTTGATAGAGCTAGGACAAAGGTTGGACTCGATGATCTTGAAGGTCTCTTTGAACCGAGACTGTTCTATGATTCTATGAAATCACTAGTAAGCAAGCATTTAAGCTCAGCTAGGGCAGCTTAGAGATCTGCCCAATTCCTAGGGCTGCTCTTCTAGGCCTTCTGGATGGATGAAGGTGAATTGTTTGAATTTGTAGCAGTTCGTTAATCCTTGCCTATATCATACAAGATATATAAAAGCAATCCCACCTCAGGATATGTATCTGCATTAGGTCAGCTGAGTACAATCTCTCTATTTCATGCCTTTTAAATGAGGTTGTCAGCCTCCTGCCTAACAGCTGATGTGATCTTGGGCAATTTTTAGCAGGCATGACCAAGACTTCCAATACCCTTTTCTGTGCTGGGTAAGCAGAGCATCTTAGTGAAATTCTGTTTGCTGAATCTCCTCAGGTGACCATGGCCAACTTAGACATTCCTTTTGCCATGTTTGCTCCCAAGAATGTTGAGCTGGAAGATAACGACCCCATGGTAAGCCTCTTCCAGACGTATAATATGTGCCTTCTCAGCATCCCTTATGCAACATCCATGCTATTCCCTACCTTGAATACACTTTGGTTTTTGAGCAGAGAACTAGTTATTCAGTTTTGTTTGGTTTCAAGAAATCTCCCCTGTTGAGTCTTGGGCTCTCTAGACATGCGAATAGCAGCATGTGTTTGTGGCCCCTGCTGTAGCATGTGTTTGTTATCCAACTTCCTAACTGCTCCCACACTGTCCAAATACAGACAGACATGATCAGAAGCTCAGTACTCACCGTCTTTGATTTCTTGGGCAGGTGAACCCTCCTGACTCCCCAGAAACTGAATCTCCTCTACAAGGCAGCTTACACTCAGAGGGCTCCAGTGGCAGCAGCACAGGGAACACCCATGATGACTTCGTTATGATTGACTTTGTAAGTGCCCTCATCAGTGCTCTCACATAACACCTGCATCTTAGATGGGCTTCACAATGGCAGATGATGTAAGAGTAGTTTTCAATGTGGGTGGAAAAGACCCATGATTCACACTTCCAAACTAGAGCTTGACAGTCCGGAAACTGCAAAGACACTGATACTCAGAACCAACAGCTACAAATTAAATAATCTTTCAGTTCCCTACCAACACCTGGGCTTGGGGTCCTCTCTCTAATGCCTAAAGGAGCCAGGTTCCAAAGAAATGCTCTCTTCCAAGTGCTCAGACAAGCACAGATCTTGGCTGTTCTTCAGTTACTTAATCTGCATTATTGCAGCAACAGTTGTAATGCCAAGAGGTTTACAGATAGCAAGTGATGAGATTATGGCAAAAGGGTAGTGAATGGGAATTAACAGCAGTATCTTTGATTCTAGAAACCAGCATTTTCGAAAGATGACATTCTTCCAATGGACCTGGGGACATTTTACCGTGAGTTTCAGAACCCCCCTCAACTCAGCAGTCTCTCCATTGACATTGGAGCACAGTCCATGGCAGAGGATTTGGTATGGAACTCTAAAATTTCTGTTTGTGGGAATCATATATACTTTATAATGCTCTCCCTATTCCTAGTTTGAAAAAAGTTGTGTCTTCATAGGGGTCATAGAATAGTTTGGGCTGGAAGCGACCCTTAAAGGTCATCTAGTCCAACCCCCCTGCAACTGAGCAAGGACATCTTCAACTAGACCAGGTTGCTCAGAGCCCTGTCCAGCCTGACCTGAATGTTTCCAGGGACGGGGCATCTACCACCTCTCTGGGCAGCCTGTGCCAGTTCCAGTGTTTCACCACCGTCATTGTAAAAGACCTTTTTCTTATATCCTATCTAGTCTGAATCTACCCTCTTTTCATTAAAAACCATTACCCCTTGTCCTATCGCAACAGTCTGTCCCCCATCTTTCTTATAATCCCCCTTTAAGCACTGGAAGGCCACTCTAAGGTCTCCCCAGAGCCTTTTCTTCTCCAGGCTGAACAACCCCAACTCTCTCAGCCTTTCCTGAAAGGAGAGGTTTTCCATCCCTCTGACCATTTTTGTGGCCCTCCTCTGGACCTGCTCCAACAGGTCCATGTCTTTCCTGTAGTCCTCAGAAGAGAGACCCTGCCCAAAGGGGGTCCCTCACAAATGCAAAACACAGCGAAACTGCTGTGTTTATCTTCAAGCTGGAAGCTGCTGCTGCATGCTCGCTGTGGCTGTCACTGAAACCGCCAAAACTAATCCTGCCTCTGGCGTGTCAGACTTAGTGGCAAACTAGGCCTGATCTTACAGTCTGAGCAGAGGTAAAATCCCGGTGTGGCTGGTGAAAGTCATGTCTGGTTGAGTGCTGTATTGGGATTGCATGCCAACAATGTAACATACTGTGGGGAAAAATGAATACCAAAGGCTAAGAGCTGCAAGTGACTTGATGAAAGCAGTGACATGAGCAGGTTCATGTGCTGCAGCTGGTGGCAGGAATTGCACAAGGCAAGGCCCCAGTGCACCTACTGTTTCTGCAGAACAAACACTCTCTGAGCAGAATGCCCTTCTCGGGGTCACTTGCTGGATGCTGCCAGAGGACTCCTGGTTTTGCGCACATGGGATAGGAAACCTGGAGCAGTGGACAGGGGGGTGCCTGATTCAAAAACAGAATTTTTACCTTTGAGTGTGTATTTAAAGGTTCCTTTTATTGGCTGTGAATGAGCCCTGACCTGCACCCTTCTTTACCCTTCCAGGACTCGTTACCAGAGAAGCTGGCAGTCCACGAGAAAAACGTCAAAGAGTTTGATGCCTTTGTAGAAACCTTGCAGTGAAGCTGTTTTCCAGTTTTGCTGTAGCAGTTCTTCCTCAAGGTATCCTGGAGAATGATGTCAACAAATATCTCTATCACCCCTGCTCTGCCTTTTGTCTCACTTTGACTAGTTCCTTCCATCAAGTGAGCTTTCTTTGCTCTCTTCAACAGCAGATACAGCTCATCTGCTGATTTTTCCTCAACTATACCACCATGTAGTTCTGGACTGCTTTTCCTGCTCACAGTTTTTAAGACTTCAGTAGGGACACAGGAAGTCAAACTTCAATGTAGGAAACTTTTTCTCTCCTCAGTCTCTGTTCTGTGTGGAGGGAATTTGCGAAAACTTGCCATATGCTTCCTCCAAAGGCCCTATGGTGTAAGTTCCCTAGATATAGCTTCTTGCTAACAGACTTTTTCCTACAGTCTCCAATCCTGTTAGAGCATAGAAAGCTTTGGCTTATTTCCAGGATCTGTGAGTTCAGCAGATTCAACAGTTTTAAGTCCAGGAGATCCATTCCGCCGAACGGGGCATTTCATCCCGACTTCAGTGTGAGTACCTGGAGCCCAGGGAAAGACATCAGCTTTGGGACCTGTGTTAATACAAGTAACCTTTGTTTTCCTGCTTCTAAGGAACTGGGTCTCTACACAGTCATTTTGTGTGAGGCCTTCTGTTACACTGGCTGATAAGCAGGAAACTACAGAAGCGCTTTCCACATTTCCTTCCTGAGTATACTGACACTCGGCCATGCTGAGTTTACCAGTGTTGACTGTTGGCAAGCCTGCACGTAGCAGCTGTGATGATGCTGAATTCATAGTCTCTGCTTCTGAAGTGTAACTGTAAATACTAGGAATCCTATTTCTTTAGGGTTATGTAACTAGGAGTCAGTCCAAGATTCTTTCCTCTAACCCTTGCAAACCTTCCTGCTTTATGGTTAATAGATGATCTTAAGAATCAAGAAATATTTATTGCTTTTAAAGAAACCTATATTTAAAAGATGTTCTGTTTTCATGTAATAGTGCAGGTCATTCTGCCCTGGATCACTGCAGACAGCAAGTGTGCCATGGAACACTGGCCAGTGAGACTGGTCTCTTTTTGCAGGAAAATATCCCAGATATTTATTTTCTAAGACAGACTTGATTATTCTAATATAATACTCTGTTTTGGGGACTATGTGTCCATTACATCCAGTCAGGGCCCGTTGATAAAATGCAATGCACACAGCAGTGGAGTGGAGTGGCAGGGACTTAGTAAAAAGCTGTATTCTGATAGGCATGGATGAATTTGCAGTGTTCTTCAGCCATTCAGAAGGCAGCTTCTTTAAAGAAGCACATTTTTTGGGAGCTTATGGTACTTTTTAATCAGCTGGCTTTTGATTAGCTGAAATTTTATTTTTGTAATGATCTGGCTATCAACAGTGTGACTGGCTGGCAGCGCTTTATGGTTGATTTGGCTGTTGCGTGTGTTTTGCCTGATGTAAGGATGGGAGGAGAAACAGTGACACTAAACAGAAACTTAGATAAGGTAGGTCTTGTGGTTCTCTCTCCTCCTCCTATGTGTAACTAGAGTGAGCAACTGCAAGACCCCTTAAAACAGTTTTTTCTTTTCTTTCTCTTTTCCTTTCTTTCTTTTCTTTTCTTTCTTCCTTTCTTTTCTTTCCTTTCTT